GACATTTTTTATGTTTTCCGGAACGACTGCTGATTTTGGGCAATCAGAGCGTTCAACATCATCGGTGCTTGTATGACCGCGTTTAAATTCAGCATACCAGTCAATGACAGTTGATTTCCCTGGTGCAGAGTTCCTATAATGCTTATCAAGTCACTTTTTGGCTTCAACAGTAGTTTTACCGATTAAAAAATAGCGTTTAATTAACACACGAAGTTCCTTTCTATCCATTGTCTTCAAAATTACGAAACTGGGGGTACTAAAATGACTGTAACTTCTAAACTATTGGTCAGAATACCATGAAATTTTGACACGTACAGTTTGAAGGTTAGTATTATTCGAAAATAACGTGGGTTTGTCACCAGTGTCGCCATATATGTGTCAGGCCGGGGACTTATTGAGTGACGTGTTACATGTATCTATTCCAAAATGAATTATTATCGCTGAATAATTAATGTATCCCATAAACAAGGTACCTAAATATATTCCTTGTAGAACATCGAAAGAATACATTTACACCGACCTCAGTCCACGTGTTTTGTATAAAATGAGAAGATACAGTTATATTACATTCCACTGCACCTCCCACGTTCCGTATCTATGTATATGGATACTCTTTTCGAAGAATCATTGAGTCACTCATGCTCACCCGAATATAATCCTTTGGTTTTACATTCACGATGAAGGCTGACTGGTTCTCTGTTGGACAGTATAGTTGAATATCACCTTCATATCCATTGTGGCAAGTACATCTCGATTCTGATGAGCACCGAAGAATATCGAAAGCGTTGCACGTGACGAGGATGATCGAAAGGATGATCCAACATGGGCCGATCATTTTATCAGATCCTCGTGTACGCTTGATACCTGCTGTTACTGCAAAAAAACATATCACATTTATTAATTTTTATGCCTCTAAATCTTATATGTGCTAATATCTAATTAATGTGGTAATTAATTAAGGTGAAGTGGGGTAAGTGCAGACTGATTTTTGTAAAGTTGGTATTTAAACGTATGTATTTTCAGTCTGCTATGTAAATACTTAACGCTGTCGATATCGAACGCTTTGCACAATTACTACTATTTAATTAATATTAACTAAAACCTTAATTTTCCTTATACATTTTGATTTTGATAGGAAATTGTTTAAAATGTCAACTACTCTGCACTTTCCCCGAAAATGGGGTAAGAGCGTAATTTGAAGTTAAATGCTTTGAAACTTTATTTCATGTGCAATGGGGCAAGAGCAGAATTATTAACAAATCTGCTATAAAATGCTTTTTACTGCATGATGTAAGTACTCTATACTGCAAACAAGTATTCTTAGCTGAAATATAAAAGGGGATATAGTGAAACAAAACAAGGAAACAAACATACTAAATGGAGAAATTTCGCTCATATTGTAATAAAAATAGCCTGTATACGCACTTGCCCCGTTTACGAACTTAACCCACTTCACCTTAATAATAATAATAAAATCTTTAAATGTTCTTATATTTAGTGCTAATGACCTAGATACATATTATTAACCTTTTAACCTACTATTTTCTCAGTAGTCAGTCAGAGTTAATTAATTATAACTGCAATGTTAAGATAAATGAAAAACGCTGAAATATATTTTGGATTCAGGGATCTTTGATTATTTTTGCAAATTATGATGAGTACTAAACACCAATTTTATTTATGGTGCAAATTTAAGTTTGTTGTATCTGAACTCTAATGTGCGTCACGAGTGCGTCACAATATAAGTCGAAGGGTGAAGAACATGTTCCTGAGTAACTTTTCGCTATAATTTAATCCTTAATGTACATTAAAAAATCGTCAACCATAAAAAATTTGTAAAAATCAAGATTTTGTACGTGATCTGATAGCAAAAATTCTTAAGATTCGTATTTTATGTCATACCTAACGAGAATTATGTAATGGATGAATTTATAAATCAAGCTGAATAAATTTAAATTATTTTGAATTTCAAATTGTGTAACCGGAATATTATTCTAATCGAACTTAACTTAAAATGTTTTTTAACCCGTAATGGTTACACTGAGGTATGCGACCGCAGTCAATTTAGTTTTAATTTCAGCCACTTTACATAAAAAATAACTTTTCAGAAATCCTGATATTTTTGCTATTTTTTTCCTCAAACAGTTAAATGCCAAGAGTGTGCACATATAATTTTAACTCATTATATTAAAATTGGAAAAAGGTTATAATTTTTCCATGAAAACCATCATTTTTTACGTTTCTAATTTTTTTTATATAATATGTTACAACTTTCAAACATTATTTATAATTTTTTTCAAATTAGGATAATGAGTAGTTTCTTTGTAAGACATACTTTGTAATATTTTTAGTGGTTGGAGTTTTGTACGTCCCAGCATGATCTTCTGATGAAGTGCTACCGTTAAATTACAAAATATGCTACGTTGAGTTAGATTAGTTTAGATTGATATATTTATAAGTATTTTCTTACTAATAATTTTGCAATAAGCAACTGGCGATGATTAAGTTATAAGGAAAAACTCAGCACGACCTCAAGAACATATGTCAAGATCAAGGTCATTGTACTGCGCCCCTTTTAGCCATATATATACTACTTGTTAATAATACCAATATGTTTCTTACTGTATCTGAAGTTTATTGTACTTCTATACTGCCTAGTACTGGTATTTGATGTTAAAAAATTAGGTTACGACTCACCGATTTCAATGACTCTCAAACATGTTGTCAAGGACGTCCAAACAACCTTTCTCTATAGACGTAACCGTTATTTGGTTTCGATTTCGAAAATGTTCGGAAAAATAGTTTTGATGTAATTATTTCTGGAAAGACGCACGCTTTACTGATTTCGATGAACTTGAAAACTGCCATGGTCAACACTTTAAATAATGTTGTTTACGAATGTAATTACGTTTCGGTGTTAAGTTCTATAATGTACGTAAATGATTTCAGATAAATTTGCGGTGTGCGATAGTGTGAATAACATAGCATATTTTATTATATTCTTTTTTTTTATCGTAAATGTATATGTATAGACAGTAAAACTAATATACATATTAATGTATATATGTATAGCAGAATACATGTATGTAAGTACTAGTTAATATAATAAAACATATGTATTCACTAGTGAAAATGTATAGCATCACTACATGTATCTACACTAATTATGTATAAGAATTATACACAAAGCAAACATTATATAGAGTACACCAATATTTTTATGATTAGTGGAGTAGAGTCATTTATTCATTAATAAAAAAAATAATAATTATACATAATTAGTGTAATATACATAATATTTATAATATGTATCATATGTATTTTAGTTTATGTATATTAGTGCATAGCACATAGAGTAAAATACATATACTAAAAATAATAAAACATAAGTGTTTACTAGTATATATAGTAAAATATATTTATTATACTAAAAAATTCAATTGCAGTTTCTTGCAAAAATCTCTCCAATTAAGGCAGCACAACGGTTATATGTACAGAGAAAATTGACTTGGAATGTTGCACCTGACAGGATATTTCAAGGTCACTGACACTGGCAAGGTATATCGTTTTCTACGTAATTACTAAAACTTATTTATAAATAGAAATATCATTTCTTCTTTTTTTTTCATGAAATGATGATCGTTTATTGAACGAGTTAAATCGGAAATAGCGGTATATACAGCGAACAAGATAAATGTGATAACTTCCTTATGCGACGATAAGAACCCCATATTTCGAAAAATATACTTCAGCTGATAAGTTCCCCTTGTAACCGAACTTTTTGTGCATACTAGATGGAGCATCTTCGAACGAATGTTTAGGCTGAATTTAATAAATATCAATGTCAGTTTGAACACATATTTCAGAGTTTGAAAATATGGTAATTTGAGGGATTTGAAATTTAGGTGTATGGAGAATTATGGATATTTTCAACACTTTTTGGCATTTTAAGAAATTTTTATTTGGAGACATGGCAAGTTGCAGATTTGGGAATTCAGAAATTTGAGATCTTGCAAATTTTGAGAATTTAATTTTGGACTTTCGGAGAATTTATAATTTTGAGGATTTTCGGAATTTGTCAATTTGGTGAATTAGGGATTTATAGATTTGGGAATGTGATGGAGATTTTTGAATTTGAATAATTTAATATTTTGGGGATTTGAGAATTCTGCGACGTGGCAATTTGGGAAGTTTGGGGAATTTAGGATTTTAGGAAGATTAGAATTTGGAAAATTAGGAATTTTTGAATTTAGAGAATCTGGAGAACTTAGGGTTGTGGGGACTTTAAGCATTTTAAGGATTAGGGAATTGTGGAATATGGCAATTTGTAGATTTAGGACTTTTAAATTTGATTATTTCTGAATGTAAAAAATTTAGAATTTTGGGAACTTTGAAGATTTAGAGAATTCATGAATTTCGGTTTTTGGGGATTAAATATTTAGTAATTTGGTAATTTAAAAATTTTTAAATTTGGCGATTAGAGAATGTAGGAATTTTGAAATTTGAAGAATTCTGGATTTTGGGAATTTAGATATTTAAGTACTTTTAGATTTAATTAGGTTGTTGAGGAACTTGGCACATTAAAAAATTTAGGATTTGTAGAATGTTGCAAATTTAGAAGTTCGAAATGGGATTTTTAAATTAAAAAGTTAAGGAATATAGAAATTAAGGAAACTTAGAAAATTTAAAGAAATTCTGTATCTAAGAATTTGTGGTTCTGTGAATTCAGAAATTTGTAAATGTAACAATATCATTTTGGAACATAAAAAGTAAGATTTAAAAAGTCGATAGTTACAAATCAATTACTACGTATATCGCTATCAATGTATTTAGTAATAATTCGCATGACCGAAGACAATTTTCCATGTACAGCATTATATTGTCGCCATAAAACTGAAACTTTGGTACGTGCTCCTAATTTGATGATCAGGGACTCCAGTCTATGAACATAATTCGTGAAAAGTAAAGAAATCTCTTTATCAACAGGAAGTGACCTCGAAGTATCACGAATTACCGTGAAAAATCATTATAATCAAATGAACGATCGAACCATGAGTGATTGAAAAGGTGCAGTTCACGCCACCTCTCGTTAAAGCTATTACTACGTATTGTACTAGAACCACCCAGTGCGTCATACAGTGCGTTCACTCAGTTTTGCACGATCAAAGAGTACAATTCAACGCCACGTGAGTTCACAATGAAGAAGCTTCTGTCTCCGGTAACAACACTCCTCTGTACGAAGAGAGAGAAAAAAGTATCTCGCGCTTCGTTCAAGAAGAAAGAATGTCGATAGAACATGCATGTCACGACCGAAATCCTTCGCAATCGTATTCTGCGTAACGTAGATCCGGCTAACGACCTGTATGCAAGTTTTCTCTAAAACAGACACGCCTCGTTCTACGAATGTACTCGATACTCGTTACACAATGTGTAATGCATATACGGATGCGCGCGCGTGTACCGTGAACAAGCAATTACGAAGGTCACACGTGATTGTTAAATATTAGGTACCGGAGAGAGATCTTGCGATTACTCTGTTCGAGACAAGATCAAATTTATTTATCTATCGTTGTCAAAATTTGTAATATAACAATGGAGATATTTTTGTCAGGTGTTGCTAATGATTGATAGAGATTTTGGTTTCTGCGGATTTGGGAAAGTTGAGATATGAATTTTCAGAGGTGTGACTATTTTGGAATTTTGAAATTTCAGATCTAGTGAATTTGAAAATACACGAATTTGGAAATTTAGATATTTGAGAATGTAGGAATGTAAGAATTTTTAGTAATGTACAATTTCAGCAACGTACAGTTTGAGCAAAAGAAAGATTGAGTAATGAGAATTTTTAACAATGTACTGTTTGAGCAATGCAA